TATACACTTAAAATTCCAAGGACTGTGTGTGTTTTTAATCTGTTTCACTTAAGAAATTCGGTATATGTGTATCAGAGATCTAACTATAGTTGCCTAACTTCTCACAGTGAGAAGTCTAGCTATGGTTAGTCCAGTCCTGTAGTGTGAATTCACATTATCATTAGAGCTCCAGGCTCCTTCCAGCTTATTGCTCTGCCATTTTTAAGGGTATTGCTTCCATACTCATGATTACCTTGAGGTCACAAGATGATGGTTGCCCCACCTCCAGCATCACACTTACCTTTCAGGGAGAAAGAAAAGGGAGGTATAAAGGAGTCTTTAAATGCCTTCTATAGCAATTTTTACCTAGGAGCTGGGGTCTCATGTCCATCCCCTAGCTGCAAGAGAGGCTGGGAAGTGTGGATTCCATCCCCCTACCCCAACCCCCGCCGCTGGGTATATTGCTTCCCTGGACAAATTGCAGTTCTGTGAGTCAAAGTAGGGAGTAAAGGATGAGTATGAAAATACCAATATTGTCCCAGTGCACAGACATCAATTCCTCTGTACAAAGTACAGCCACATTCTTCTGTATATAAGAGATCTGGCCAAATTAGGTCCAATAAAGTAGTTTTATTTTTAAGTCCATGACTCTTAGGTATTGGAAGTGATACACTGGAAAATATCACAGTAAATTATCTTATTCTAGAAGGTTCCATTTCTTTTTACTCTACGAAGCAAATCTGTTTTAAAGAAAGGAATGTGGGAGAGTATGTATAGAGTGGCAAAGAATCGAAAGGGGTGTGTATGTGTGTGGTGGATGGGAAAGGGGAAAGGTAAGTGGGAATTGCACCAAACATAATACATCCTCTTCCTTCTGTGAGTTTGAAGGCTTGGGAAACATTTACAGGGTAAGTTAAACACCCCTGGGCAGTTTATCTTATACATCTGGCAGTTGACACAGCAGACACATGTGAGTTTAAGTGACCTACAAAAATGTAGAGGGCATTACTTTGCAGGGAGAAACTACCCTCCAGCAGGCTCTTTTATTCCTCTAGGATATTTGTCAAAAGTGAGATATATTTCGATTTCAGACCTGTGAGAATTCTCTATTTGTATCTCTTCAATTAGTTTGGTGTTTATTAAAAAGTGGCTCTTCTTCAGTATGTTGGAATCTCTTACTGTCCTTTTAATTTGGTTTTCTGCTTGCTAATGCAGAACAGGAATGTGTCCTAAATTCCTGTACCAGTTGAAAGAGCTTTCAACATCCCTGCTGCAAGGCATGTAACAAGGCTTCCCTTTTGGTACCAAAACAATTATCATCATATAAAGACTCAGGATGCATGACTTATTTCTCCTGTTTCTTAGTAAGGCAAGGATATTGTCTATTGCTTTCTACAGAAAACTCACAGAGTTATTATTGTAAAATCATTTATATTCTCAGTCTAGATTTAAGCATGCTAAAGGAAGAATTAAACCAATAATTTGAACAATTTTAATTCATATGCAGATACTCAGGGCTAAAGACCTTAGGTGGAGAATCTCTTTTGGCTACAATTATTGAGATCTTTACTTTAGTTTTCCAGTCAATTTTAAGATGTAAAAAAAGAGTTTTGTGTATGATACTTTAAAAAGTTGCCCTTTCAACTGATTTTTTGCTCTCAGTGGCTAGTTCAAGAATTAAATGAAGACCTTTTTATGGTTTTGCCATACAAATGGTTGTTTACTTAAGTCTCTGTTATAAGTTTGTGCAAATCAAGATATTTGGCCTGTCTTGGGGAGCTGAGAATCAGTGTTTTTTAGTATGAAAAACAATAAGATTATGGAGTAAATGGTATTAAAATGAAGAATTACTTTTGGTAATTGAAAAGTAATTTATTATGTACTCAGCACTTTATACATTTTTTATCTGTTAAGATTCAGAACAGTCTTATAAGCAGATTCTGCTATTAATTCCAATGTGTTAATAATGAAAATGAGGTTTAGTAAGTTCAAGAAACTTTGCATGGCAATTGATTGGGTTAAAATTTGAACTTGGGCAGTCTGACATTAGCTCCTTGCTACTGTTGTGGTCCCTGGACCAGCAACATTGGCATCACCTGGGAGCTTGTTAGATTTGGAAATCTTGGGCCCTATCCCAGATCCACTGAATGAGAATTTGCAATTTTACAAGATTGCTAGGTTATTTCTATATTCATTGAAATTTGAGAATATTGCTGTAGTCCTTATTCACTACCTATAATATCCATGACATAACTCCCTTTTAATTTATTATATTACATGTAAATGTTTTTGGCATTGTTAATATGAAATATTAGTAAACTTGATTGTAGTTATTAAAAACATTGGTAATGTCTGCTTTGTAAAACTTAGAACTAAGGCAAAAACTTGTCTGTTCTATTCGTTGCCCTAGGTAGATATTACTTAGAAAGATATTTTTGAGAGACCCCATTCCCACTCTAAATTTTCATTTTTTTTCCATGGCTCAAATTACATAGATTTAAAAAGGCTGTTTTTAATGTATTGTAAGAGAGGAAGATGAAAAATATCCCTTCCTTCAAATTTTCCATGTAAATCTCCCATTTGTTGATCACCTGTGAAATGCTAGTCTTGGGTATGTTATTTCAGGAAATACCCACGGATATTGATAGATATTTGTGTCACCATTTACTGATGTAGAAATTTTAAGTTTTAGGTTTGATATGAATGCATTATTGATATAGGCAGCCAATGTTGTGCTTTTTAAAATTTGAGAATTATGTTCATATAGTATCAATTTCATTGTTATTCTGGGATATAGATTTTGTACTTTTGGAAAGTAGTGAAATGCTTTTAAGATCTGACTTTGCAGTCTTGCTCAGTTGTTAGAATAATAGAAATGATGACCCTGGTAATATGTGTGTGTGACCATTTTCTGTTTTAAATTTTACAGCGCTGGGATATGAAGCTTCGTCACCTTGGACTGAATAAAAGTGATTCTAGCCATAGTGATTCCACTCAGAGTCAGAAGTCTGGCAGGAACTCCAACCCCCGGCAAGCACGCAACTAAATCCTGAAATGCAGAAAGAACATTAGCGGACTTCCTATTAAGACTTGCATTGCTGGACTAGCAAAGGAAAATTGCACTATTGCACGTCATATTCTATTTTTTTACCACAAAAATCATGTGGTAACCAATATTACTTCTATTTTCTCTTTTGTTTTCTGCTTTTCTCTTTCCTCCTCCCACCCCTCTTTTTTTTGTGGTCTAAATGCAAATCCTTAAACATATGTATTCTATTTCATTAATCATGGGAAAACTATTCTTTGCAATAATAATAAATTAAACATGTTGATACCAGGGCCTCTTGCTGGAGTAAATGTTAATTTACTGTTTTGCACCCAGATTGGGAATGTAATATTGGATGAAAAGAGAGAAAGCTAACTATGCTGTACAACATACTCGGCTGATCTAATTACAACCTCATTTCTCATGCCTTTTGGGCATTCTCCTCACGCTTAGAAAGTTCTACATGTTTATATAGGTAAAATAGCAGTTTGAAATCAAATGCCACACAGGCAAAGTAATCAGCAAGCACCAGGAAGCATTTACGAGGAAAAGACACACAAGATGAATTATTTGCAAGATTGGCAGGAAGCAAAATAAATAATGTTAGGACCTGGGGAAGGAACATTTTGCCAGATTGAGAAGCACAACTGAAACCAGTAGCTGTTAAGGTGTTAACGGTAGCATTTATCTTTTGGTAATACATTTGATTTATTTATGAATATATTAACCAGCATTAGGGAAATGAATTACAACTAGACATCTGCTGTTATCAGCATAGCTCTGTTTAATTTGCTTCTTTTAAAATAAACCTATTGGTGTGAGTCTATTTTTTTTTTTTTCATTTAAAATAAATGTGACTTGCTGCATTGACTAGGAAAAGAAAGTATGTATGTGTGTGAACTAGGGTATTACTTTTAAAAGGTATGTAGCTCTATAAAATGCTGTAGTTGCAGGATGGTAAAATGTGCAAGGTTTTCTGTTTTTTTTTTTTGATGTGTGTGTCTGTATTTGTGTATGTGTATGTCTGTGCGCTCACACCCAAGCTGGACTGAATTACAGGCCTGTGCACTGGCCTGCACTTTATCATTTGGATGTGTGCTGTTTAATGCTTGGTAAAATCCGTCTAAAAAAAAATTATGGTTGTCAGGAGAGAGGCTACTCTGACTTTTGAACCAAATGAACATTCTCATTCCCCAAGCTGTAGTGCAATCCCTGAGGACCATGGGAAACATGATGCTTTTACTTCCTTCCTTCAGTGGGATTCTTTAGAACCTGTGCCAATCATTTGAAAGTCTCATTCTCTTCAATTTTCATATTTAATACTAGCAGAACCAAATTTCTAAGATATGGTATGCTAAAAATAAAACACTACGAAACAAAATGTTGCTGTTTTTCCTTCTACAAGGATAGTCATGCAAGAATGAAAATTATTCCTGAACAAAAGCTTCCTAAAATGGTAAATAATAATGTATTTAAATTCTGTTTTGGAAGAGAACATCCTTCCTTGCCTTCTGACTGACCCCAAACTTTAACAATTTTCTTAATCTTAGAAGAAAGAGCTTTTATCTTTGCCTACCTGAGGACTGCAGTCTTTTGTGCTGCCAGATGGTTGCTTTTAGATAATTTCAATGTCTGCCCTTTGGGCTTTATTCTCTGATGGCTGAAGCAGGGGCAGCTCTTTCTACATGCTAAAGTTGGTATCCGCGAGAAGGTGAGTTTGGGTGTCACAGGATAGTAGTGAAGTGCCACAACAGATGAACTGTACCTCATAATCTCTCATCCTGATATTTATGCCTCAACTTGAACTTCGAGGACTGAGGACTGGAAAGTAGCGCTTCTGCATCATCCTGTTTTTCTCATGCCTTTTTCATCGTAACCATGGAAAGAAGGGCAAGACTTGACTGCAGGAGATTGTAAAAAACGTTGATTTCTCAAATCCACAAAGTGTCATCCAAAGCAATAGTAAGAGGAATTTTAAGTGATGAAATATTCTGACAGTCTATGAAAGCCACAGGTACCTCCATCCCCTGCAGTTTTCTTTTTTGGGGGAGTGGGGAGGGAAAAATAATTTTTGTGTAGAGATTTGACACATTTATTCATGTAGAATTGTGATATTTATAAGCGAAAGAGGACCAGATTATTAAATCAGCAGCGGTTTTTTGTTTGTTTTGTTTTGTTTTTCCACCTTCTGTTTTAATGATCTATACTGGCAATGCTTGATTTTGCTCATCTACATAAGGCGCTGTCTGTTATTTTGAAGCCTCTAATGGTATAAGATCCATGGATGAAGTATATTTGGTTTTTCAGTTTCATAGTTGCAATATTTTCATTAATTACGAGCAGGTATCTTTGGGGGAGTGACATGATTTTTATCATGATGGTCACATTTCTAATTAGACTGCAAAACCATTTCTACTCTGTGATTGTCTTAATACAAATAGATCACATTAGTGCATCTCTACAGGTTTTACTGACAGACATTAACTTTTAAAGCCACTAACATTTTAAAATATATGCATACTTGTCATTAACCTTGAGATCAAAAAATTAATTCAAAAAAATTTTGGAAAATTTTGTTCACCTTCAGGATTTTAATTTTCCTAGCCAGGTGATAACAAAATGTTAGATGTGTGCTGAATAAACTAGTAAAAATTAAAATAACAGCAAACTTGGATTCTCTTCATGGATATGTAAGTATTTTACTACGTCACATACACAGTGTAATCTGATTCAGGGCCATATGTTGCACTGAGCATTTGGGGGTGGGGTGGAGTGGGAAAAATCCATGTCTTTCCACATCTGTTATATATTAAGAAGGCAAATACAAAAATCACAATCACTGTGAGTAAATAGCACTACTTATTGCCTTCTGCAAGAAATTATTTGCCTTTATTTTTCAACAAGGAAAATGACTAAAACGTATTTCAAGATGGATATTTATACTGAATTTTAATATTTAAATAATACAGGTATTCAAGAACATGGTAGGAATAAGGTAAAGCAGATATTTTTAATACTACTACTGAAATCTAACCTATAGAATTTTAAAATATGGTTCCCAGCTATATTAACATTAACAAAAAACAGTCTAGTCATGCCTTTGGTAATTATCTCTTTGGGGGAGAAATGTTTAACAGTGGCTAGAACTCTATAGAAAATATTTGAATGTGTATTACCTCATCTAACCGTTGAAAGTCTGTGAAGTAGGTATTGTTATTTCCGTTTTATAGATGAAGAAATCAAGGATTTAGCGATTCGGAGTTATGTAAGTAGCATACCCTTTTATTCTTATTTCCCAAGTTATATGTTTCCCACCATTGCAACTGCTAATAAAAAGATAAATGAATCCTGACACTGTAAAAAAGCATAGTGCCCGGCATATAGTGACTACTAATAGTTTTTTCTCCCCTTAAACTGAGGTCTACTGACTGTATGTCAGAAAGCATAAGTCCCAACTCTGACCCCAAATACTGTCACTTCCATTCTTTAGTTGTCCTCGCTTATAAAATCAAAGTTTCAATGGAATTTTATACAGGATGAGGTGAATGAACAATTAAAGTGATGCTTTTGGTATTAATAGTTAAAGATACATGATTCTCAGTGGAAAAAAATGGTGTTTTTCCTTTAAGTTTGTGTTTTTCCTTGAATTTAGAAAAGTATGGAGTTAATAGTATTCAAAAAAGGTGAAGTTGAAAGTTGATGGGTACCACAAATAAAACCGGAAGAGCTACTTTCCATTGGGAACTTTCATTTGTCATCCTTAGATTATTCCTTATCCCACTCATCACCAGAGTCCTCCACAGTGTAGAAAAAAAGCTATTTTATGACATAATGCCCCCTGCTTTTCTTTTGTTTAATATTTTCATTATGACAGGGATTTAATATGTTGAAAGACAATTAAAGCTTTTTTCCTTTGGGTAAAATTCAGACATCTTTCATTGTTTCTACTTTGAATGGTGGATGTCGAGAACTCAAGGAGCTATGAAGAAGGGAAGGATGTACTCAGGGAAGCTTGTCCAGTCCAAAAGGAAAGGATTTACAGACCGTTGAGGAGGCTGACTCAGAAGCGAGAGGAAATGCAGAAAAGAACTTTCCACAAACCAGAAGGATGTGGAGGGAGATGACACCATTTATTATATAGTAGTGCTGGGGCCGCCCTTCTAAACAGCCACCACCCTGTCCAAACATGCTTAACATCATGAAATGGGATTGAGGTTACGATTGTAGGGTTGCATCTTAGAAAACTTTGGAGCATCAGCAAGGGTGGGTTGGGGTGATGTATTATATGTAGGATAGCTCTGAGACAGTAAATAATTTGTGAAACAGGGAGGAAAGTATTGCTTCTTTGTACTGGGTGGTAAGTAAAGCCAATAAATAAAACTGATTGGGTTCACTCTAATACCTTTATTTCTACATTGTCTTGGTGACTGGGGGAATCAGGCCTTCCCAGAGATGGGATCCCTGTACTAGCATTGAAGTACAGAATTTGAGGTGAATAGTTAGGACTCGATTGGGCAAAAGAATCGAATATGAACAAAATCCCTACCGAAAGATTCTTTTGCTCTGACCTATAACTCGAGAGATATATCAGAGCTTTAAAAAGAACTATGAGGCTCAGACATATCATACCTACGAAGACTGCATTGTCCCGTCTGCACGCATTCACTTCTTTCCCTCTTGGCCATTTTTATCTATTCTGCTTCTCATATTGCTTGGCTAATTAAATCAAACACAAGCCTGCAGTAAGTATATTCAGAATTTCTAGAAAATCAAGCATTAAGCTACTAGAAAATATTGCCTGATATTCTTTAGATCCATTGATCAATATCTATGAAGCATATCTGGATTTCTTTCAGATTACTAGTTTAGACAGTCTTGTCCTGAGTTTCTTTTGGACACATAATGCCATCAGCCTGTAACTGTAGCTGCCCATGCTCCTTCTCCCTTAGGGACAGCGCTTTGGGACATTCGATCATTCCAAATGGCCCCTTTATCATACCTTAAAATGAGCTTTGAAGTTAGGGCATATAGATTCATATTCCTGCTTTGCAACTTATTGGCTATTTAGCTTATTCTCTGAGTTTTAAGACCAGGTGTATTGAGCTGGGAAGACGCTGTGGAGCGGTGCCTGGAACATGGTAGGTGCTTAACAGGTACCAGAATTACTCCGCCTTTTACTCTCGAATACTCTCAGTGAAGTAGACAGTTTTCAGGGAGCTTATGAGTGTTCACCTACCCAAGAAGAGAAAGCAGCTTCCAAGAGATCCTACTCCTTGCACTGTTCTCTCTCTTCCATCTTTTAGATGCCAGACTCAAAAATAATCCCCTCAAATCACCCTCAGGGTGAAGATTGCATTTTTTTTCCTTTTCCTCCTCCAGCAAGGCAGACATGCTTAGAAAGGAGCATGATCAGGAGACCAGATGAATACTCATTTGATTTTTAAAAAGGTAAGATTCTGGGAAAACTACAGAGTACTTAATTCTACAAAATATATATCGCCAATACAAACTTATTTTTTATTCCAAATATTACAATTTATTTTGGAAATTAAAAAACCAAAATATTTCTCCAACTACTTTTAAATACTGAGGATGGTAAACCTATAGAAAGCTTAACATTTTTATGTTGCTTATTTCTATGGAGATAGATTCATCTAATCTATCTCCGGACTTATAAACTTAATCTTTGAACTTTTCAGAGGAATTGGGTCTTTATATGTTATTATTATCCACTGTAAGAAATATTTTATTTTACACAAAGGAGCAAAGCAAGTAAAGTAACTTTCTCTTAATATTATTGGTAAAAGTTTGGCTTCCCCAAAAA